ATAATTGAGGTGTCAAAATGTCCCAGCTGTACCAGTTCATTGGAGGAAATTCAGGAAGAGCAAAGAAGCAATGGATATACCGATCTGAAGATCCTTACCTCATAATGGACGATTGATCTTCTCAAGTAAGTTTTTTAAGTCCTTTACTTATGTACTGCTACGGGTTATGTGTATCTGTTTAGCATCAAGATCAAGTTGTTCTTTTTCTTAATAGTTTTTCTTTTTCTTTTTTGTAATTAGTACTGGAAAGCTGCAAGTTTTTGGAGGAGATCCCTTCTTGTTTGGAAAATCTATCAACTCTTGAAATAATTGAGGTGTCTAAATGTGCCAACCGTACCAGTTCAGTGGAGCAAATTCAGGAAGAGCAATTAAGCAGGGGAATCCTTATTTCATGATGGATGATTGATCTTCATTCTACTTTTCTTTTTTAATCCTTTACTTCTGTACACATACTGGTTATGTTGTATCTGTTGAGCATCAATCAAGATCAAGTTGTTCTTGTTTTCTTTGCAAGTTTCTTGTTATTCCTGTGACCGAATCTTGTATTGGGACATATACGTACCCCAAATACTCTGTGGAAAGTAATTTTTCAATAGTAGTGCTGTGCTCGCACAACTGAGTTTGCAAATTTTCCAAGAACTTATATGTCTTTATTGGTTTGAACTTTGAATTACAATAATATTCTATTGGGAGATTTCCGGTAGTTAACAAAATAACTTTTGATACAAGCATATACCAAAATTGATACAAGCACATTCCAAAATTGATTGTTGTACAAAATGAAGGAAGAAACCCAAAAAAAAAAAATTTCTTAAAACCCTCCCTAGATTCTTTCTGTTAACTACTAGACTTTAGATTCGAACCTTGAATCTAACATCAAGGAGAAGCCAAGTTAAGAGAGTTAATTGTGCTAACTTCACTTGAGCATCGTCATAATCCTAAAAGCTCTCTTTATTGTTTTAGAAAGATTATGAAACTTTTTGTAAAGTTGTTTATTAAACGTTTTAAATTGTTCTAAAATTGATATCTTGAAAACTATTGTATAATTTTCAAAATACAAAAGGCCTCCCAAAATAGGTAACATTCAGGAAAAATGTAGAGGGCAAGGTAAAAGTGGAACATTTTTTAAGAGATTTTAGCATAATTTTTAGGGCCACCCCAACTTATATAGTTTAAGGGGAAATAATGCATGGCATCAAAGATGGACCTGGAAGGGCTCCTCCAAGTCCAGATACTCCTATCCAAAGATTTAGATAATTCTCCTGTTCATCCTTAAAATTCTAAAAATTTTCAAAAAGCCCTTTAAATTTGAATATTTTGGAGCCGCAACTATATATTTTAGTTTGCCAAAAAATCTACTCATATTATCTCTACCTTACCCCTGTATACTTTTGTTGTGGTTCTACAAGCGAAACACATTACATGAGCGAGTAGCTAAAAGTGAATTTATAGTATCCAAAAACATAAAAAACAGTTTTAGGTGACCGAAAGAAAATAGTACATACATTCTCTCTCATGCTGCGTTTGGATTCAAAATTTGATGAATAATTTGAAATTCTCTCAAATTCCTGTAGTTGTTTAGATTATTTAGTAAGTATTTGAATTCATAAATCACCAATTATTCAAATATTTAATATATATTTTGATAATTGGTGAATTATAAAGTCAAATGCTTCTTAATGAATCCAAATAACTGAAGTGATTTGGATGAATTTCAAATTTTTCATTAAATTCGTCAATCCATATGAAGTCATAAAGTTTTTTCACGACTGTATTGCATTGAAAACAGCTTTGCAAGTGATCTAACAAACAATAAACAAAAAATTATGCAAATAATAAATTTATTCTGGTAGTTTCAAAGAAATTGGATGGCAAAGAGCTACTTCAATACTTGTTAAATGATTCAAACTCGACAGAATTCAAAATGCCTTTGCGCTATCGATGCTGAGTATATATGTTAGAGGCAAACTACCAATTTATAATTTGAAAATATACGGTTGAAGATTCAAAACATTTTCATCTTAATTTAACATAATAAATAGTGATGCATTTCCTCCTAATTGTGGTATGCTGTAATGATATCACTGATTTTGATCAGAGTTAACTGGAGGTAGGGAAAAGTGACCAAGAGAATTGGGAAGGGAAGAAACAGAGAGGGAAGGTATATTGAAAGGGATTGAGAAAACTGAACTTGTTCTGTTTGATAGCGTGCCCCATCCGTCCTCTTTTAGGCTTATTTATACAAGATTCGTCCTCTAGATCCTTCTGTGTTCTAACCTCCCAACTGAATGAGCATGCATGCAAGCATGCTATTTTTGGATGTCTAACAGAGTAACTAACTTCTGGATCGCTAACTAACTTCCTAATAAGGAAAGCATAGCAGATACATTTCTGCTAAAAGTATTTATAATATCTAGGGTCATTACAATACCTTCCCCTTAAGAATCCTAGTCACTAGGATTGAGCTGGAAATTTGGAAACTGTGATTGTATCACCGTGACATCCTCCCAAGTTGAGTCTTCAGTGCCTAGGTTCATCCACTTGATCAGCACTTGAGTCACCTTCTGTTTTTTTCTTATGATTTCACGAGTGGCCAATACACTTTCTGGTGCAATCTTGATCTGTCCCTCAGCCATAGTCAAAGGTAACTCCTGAGTTATAACATGATTCTTTGCAGATGGTTTGAGCAAGGAAACATGGAAGGTAGGATGTATCGAAGAGCCAGCAGGTAACTCTAGTTTGTAGGCTGCATTACCAACTTTTTGAAGGACCTTATATGGCCCATAATACTTGGAAGATAACTTCAGATTCTTCCTGATTGCTACCGAAGTTTGTCTGTAAGGCTGCAATTTCAAGTATACCCAATCACCAACCTGGAAATTCCTTTCAATTCTGCCCTTATCCGCGAACTGCTTCATACGATTCTGAGCCCTGATGAGATTTCCCCTCAGCAATTCATTCCATTCCCTCCTATCTCCCAACCACTGTGCCACAGCAGCTACTGGAGTTTCTAAGGCATTCAGGCCTAATTGAGAGGGTGGATAACCGTACAGAGCCTGGAAAGGAGTCATTTTCAAGGCTGTGTGATGGTTGGTGTTGTACCACCATTCAGCAGCTGCTAATAAGAACTTCCATTTGTGAGGTTGTTGGAAACATAAACACCTCAAGTATGTCTCAACGCATCTATTCAGCCTCTCTGTCTGCCCATCTGTCTGAGGGTGGTAGGCAGTGGAGTAGTGCAGCTCAGTACCTAGCTTCCCAAATAATTCCTTCCAGAACATGCTAGTAAACAGCCTATCCCTGTCTGATACAATGCTCAGGGGTAACCCATGCAATTTGTAGACATTATCAAAGTACATGTTAGCTACTGACTGTGCTGTATACTTAGGAGGTAATGGCAAGAGGTGGCAGTATTTGGTGAACCTGTCAATGACTACCAGCATTCCTTCATATCCCTGAGACTTGGGCAATCCTTCCACGAAGTCCATTGAAACATGCTGCCATGCTTGCTCGGGTACAGGAAGTGGTTGCAGTAGGCCTGGTGTTTTGCAATGTTCTACCTTGCTTCTTTTACACACATCACATTGCTGCACCCAACTTTCTACCTCCTTCTTCATTCCTGGCCAGAAAAATGGCCCCTTCAACCTCTGATAGGTTCCTAGGTTTCCTGAGTGCCCTCCTAGGGGCGAGTCATGAAGGCAAATTATCAGCTTCTGTCTCAAGCTCCCTGATGCTCCAATGTAAACCCTGCCTTTATACCTGAGTAATCCCCCACTAAAAGAGTAATTGGGAAGAGAGTCAGGTGTAATGGTCAAGGCTTCGGTTAGCTTAGTTACGGCACTATCCCCCTGGTAACTCTCCAGGACTTCAGATAGCCATGCAGGTTTCATGACCGAGAGGCTGTGTGTAGAGCTGTCTTCTTCATAGCTTCTTCTAGACAGTGCATCAGCCACAAGATTTTCCCTACCTCTCTTGTACTGTATTTCATAATCCAGTCCCAGCAACTTAGTAAGCCATTTTTGCTGTAGGGGAGTGGTTATCTTCTGCTCTAGTAGGTACTTTAAGCTCTGGTGATCTGTCTTGATAATGAAATGATTCCCCAACAAATAATGCCTCCACCTGGATACAGCTGTGATAAGGGATAACAACTCCTTCTCATATATTGACAATCCCAAGTTTTTAGGCCCCAAGGCTTGACTGAGATAAGCAATAGGCCTTCCCTGCTGCATGAGTACAGCTCCTATAGCCTTATGACTAGCATCTGTTTCCAGAACAAATGGTAAGGAAAAATTAGGGAGTGCGAGGACAGGTGTGTTGCTCATCAGTTGTTTGAGTTTTTGGAAAGCTAGTTCAGTATGTTCACTCCAATGGAAGTTTTCTTTCTTCAGCAACTCTGTAAGTGGCTTGGCAATGAGCCCATAACCTCTCACGAACCTCCTGTAATAGCCTGTAAGTCCCAAAAATCCTCTCAAAGCCTTTACTGATGTAGGTGCAGGCCAGTCCATCATGCTTTTGACTTTTGAGGGGTCAGCCTGTACTCCATTACTACTGATAATGTGTCCCAAATACTCCACTTGGGACTGTCCAAAGATGCATTTAGAAAGCTTGGCAAATAAGGAGCAAGATCTGAGTGTTTCTAGGACAGTTTTGAGGTGTGAAAGGTGAGTGTTAGGGTCAGGACTATACACAAGGATGTCATCAAAAAATACTAGCACAAATTTTCTCAAGTAAGGTTCGAATACATGGTTCATCAGGCTCTGAAAAGTTGCTGGTGCGTTAGTAAGGCCAAATGGCATGACTGTGAATTCATAAAGTCCAAGGTGAGTTTTGAAGGCTGTTTTTGGAATATCATCTAGGTACATTCTGATTTGATGGTAACCGGCTCTTAGGTCGATCTTAGTGAAGATCTTAGCACCATATAGCTCATCGAGCAAATCATCAATGATTGGTATTGGAAATTTATCTTTGATAGTCAGGTCATTTAGTTGTCTGTAATCAACTCAGAATTGCCAAGTTCCATCTTTTTTCTTAACTAACAGAACTGGAGATGCAAATGGACTATGGCTGAGCTGAATAATGCCACTACTAAGCATGTCTTTTACCTGTTTCTCTATTTCATTTTTCTGGTTGTGAGGATACCTATAAGGTGCTAATTTGAATGGTTTGGCATTGGGTATTAAAGGAATTTGGTGGTCACAATCTCTGGAAGGAGGGAGGGATTTTGGCTCCCCAAATACATCTTTGTAGTCCGCAATTAGAGCATCTAGGGGCTGTTGAAAAGCAATATCCAACTGAGTTACAGAGTGTACCTGAGTTCCACTCATCTTCAGCCCGCAGGCATGCTTCCAGATTTTGGTGCTTAGTCCTTCCTTCTCAGCATTATCTTTAGGAAGCTTAAGTACCGCCTCCTTCGACTCTCCTTGTAGCCAGATCCTCTCCCCTTCCTTATCAAATGTCATGTTCAACTGCTTGAAGTCAAAGGTGATGGGGTTGTGTGCAGCCATCCAATCCACTCCTATGATCATATCATACGGTTCTATGTTAATGATAAACATGTCATGAGTGAATGGTTTACCTTGCATTTCCCAGTTCATGTTTGGAATCATCCTACTACAGGTCAAATACTCTCCATTAGCCACCTTGACCTTGAAGGGCTTGATTGTCTGGACCATCTCTGGAAAGAGTTGAGCCACAGTATTTTTGACAAAGCTGTGAGTACTTCCCCCATCCACCAAGATTGACAGGGGGGTTCCTTTGAACAGCCCCTGCAATTTGATGGTATTGTAAGTCATTTTTCCTGTCAGTGCATGTATTGCCATTTCCACTCCTCTGGCCGACTGAGCCCCTTGGTACTCAATTACCTCCCCTTCCTCCAGATCCTCAGGCCTATCTTCTACTGCGACCATCAAATGAATCTCCTTCTGCTTGCACTGGTGACCTGGACCAAACTTTTCTCCACACTTGTAGCAAAGGTGATGTTCCCTTCGGTACTGCAGCTCTTCTGGTGTGATTTTCTTGAAGTGTTGGGGTGTTTTTTTGACAGCATTGGCAATGACAGGTTTGGTAGGTGCCATAGTTTGCTGAGCAGCAGCCTGCGTGGAATTTCCCCAACCCATGGCCCTTTGATGAGGTTTGTGCTTCCTGTGGTAGGCTTCAAAGACATTCTCCTGTAGTCTGGCCAACTCAAAGGCTTTGGACAGTGTCCTAGGGTCGTGAGCTTTCACCATTGATCTCAATTCATCTGGCAAGCCACTCAAAAAACAGGAAATGTAGTAGTTTTCTGGAAGGTGTGGGGCTCGAATCATTACCTCTGATAACAGCTCCTCAAATTTTTCTTGATATGCTAGTACTGTGGAAGAGAGTTGCAACTTGTTGAATTCCTCTACTGGATCCATCTGTCCTAAGGTTCCAAACCTCTTACACAGCTCTTCAGAAAACTCCATCCATTCCACCTTGTTACTCCTAGTAGATCTGAATCCTTGATACCACACTGCCGCCTTCTCCTCCAAGTGGAACTCTGCCAACTCCATCCATTGCTCCTTGGGAATGTGCAGAAGCTGGCAATATTTCTGCAGTTTCCTGATCCATTCCCTAGGATTGTTTCCCCTAAATGCTGGAATTTCCAATTTAGGCGTACTAGCGAAGAAGGCACTCCTAGTGTTCCTTTCTCCTTGATCTCTACTCCCCAGGTCGGAGCTTCTGGAGTAACTTCCTTCTGGAGATCCTAATATGCCTTTCTCTTGATTTCCACGGTTTAAGCTGGAGAGCTGCTGCGAGATGGCTAACATGAATGCATCTAGCTTATTACCCAGCTCAGCACTCACTGCATCCAACCTCTCCTCCATGCTTTGCTTGTCTGCCGCCAAAGATTCCAGAATTCCGTGAATCTTGCTTTCTTGCCTGCGGAGCTGTTCCTCCATCGTCTTCATCCTTGTTCCATCCGCCATTGTGATATGTCGATCTAAGCTTCCTAGTCCAAGGACCGGAAGCTCTGATACCACTTGTAATGATATCACTGATTTTGATCAGAGTTAACTGGAGGTAGGGAAAAGTGACCGAGAGAATTGGGAAGGGAAGAAACAGAGAGGGAAGGTATATTGAAAGGGATTGAGAAAACTGAACTTGTTCTGTTTGATAGCGTGCCCCATCCGTCCTCTTTTAGGCTTATTTATACAAGATTCGTCCTCTAGATCCTTCTGCGTTCTAACCTCCCAACTGAATGAGCATGCATCCAAGCATGCTATTTTTGGATGTCTAACAGAGTAACTAACTTCTGGATCGCTAACTAACTTCCTAATAAGGAAAGCATAGCAGATACATTTCTGCTAAAAGTATTTATAATATCTAGGGTCATTACATATACTGATGACAAAATTAAAGTAACCAAACTTGGAAAACTTACATAAGCAAAGTTGAGGTAGCCCCAAATGCAGCAAAATGTTTGAAACAATGAGGAAGTATGATTATGTAGTCACTAATTAAAAAGGTTCATAATCTATGCTATCCCTGTCCATCTTGTAATCAATCTGAGACTAGAAATTCAGCTACCAAAACATGGTACAATGTAATCCTTAATGGGACTAGTAAATTGAAGGAAACAAAGAAATCATCTAGCAACCGTACTAAATATGCAATAAAATCATTTGATGCTAATATCACTTAATCCACCAAACCATCCAGGCTCCACATCTGCTCGAAAGTTGACTCTAGAGGGTGGTTGTGAAGCAAGTAGAGCCTCCTTAATGTTGTTTAGGATTCCTTTGTCATAGGGGTTTCCAGAGCTCACATACTTTTGGTGAAAATGCTCATAAGATGTCTGCACGAGGCATAATATAGAAACTGCATCATAATTTGTTTAAGCAGCTATTTGGACTGGCCTTCTATATTTATATGCCAAAGCAGAAATTTCCTCAAAGCTGTGCACTTTAAATAATTGTTGTACCGAAAATTCAGTACTGTTCTCAAAAGAATTGCCCGTTAATTAATATATTTGACATACATGAACTACAATCATGCAAGAAAAATATGCATTAATTCAACTTTGATGATATAAGTACTGTTGGCATAAATGAAAGTATAAAGGGCAAACCTGGTTTATAGCAATTAGATAAACATGATAACAAGAAAAGCCAGCAAGAAAACACATGGCTACAAAACTGAATAATGTCAATGCCACAGTCTCCGGGTCATTTCTTAGCAATCCAATCACCCCATTTCCATCTCCGGGCAATTTGTGATGTAGAGATTTGCATGAGAAGATGAATATGAAGGCAAACAAGAGCAATCCTGTCAATAGAAATGTTACGTGAAGCCGATAATTCCTCTGCATTTTGAAAGAAAAAAATTAAGAAGTTATAGTCAGTAAACTAATTTTAATGCCAGAAGGACTTGCAGGGCTGTCACCGTACATACCAGTCCCACACAATGCCCGATCCAGGGGCAATGGTGATCGAATTGTTGGATGCAATTGTTACAAGTTGCACAATGACAAGTTCTTGGCGGACGATAAATGTTACAAATGTTACAATACTTCAACTTCACCTCTATCCCATTTATGACAACTACCCTTGATCTCCTTCTGCGTTTACCAGCATCAATTGTTCCTAGATCATTTCTAGGAATTATACCAGGATCAATGGTACTGACAAATACCAAGTTCACAAGAACCTGCATTGAGGGCAATATATAGTTACATCAGCGAAAGGGCATTCGATTACGCTCACAACTTTCTCATACAAGTGTGTGTGTGTGTGTGTGAAATTTAGTTTAGGACTAACAATTGTTGTCAAAATTGAAGATGTTACGATGATGGCCGGATTCCTTATGTCACTTGCAACATGAACTGCAAATGTCCAACTTGATAGACTAATAGCAATGGCAGATAAAATCAGCCCTTTTGGATCTGGACCACAAATCAGTCTCCCCTTGAAAAAGAATACCTACATTCACAATAAGAAGTCTAACATCAAATCCTCCATTTTTTTTTCGCGTAAGCATCAAATCCTCCATTTCTTCTTTGATTTAAACCAATAAACTAAAAACTTTATCAGGATTCAGCAAAGTACAATGATAAGAAATAGCTTTGGAACGTAAAACAAGAGCAAATGGAGGATTACATTGTTTCCGGGCCAAAAATGGTAAACTCTTGCTTGTTCAATTTCGTCGCCTCGACAAAATCGAAAAGATTTTTCTTGAACCACCCTTTTGTATCCAATTATTTTCTCCCAAAGAGAAGAAAGCAGTTGCTTTCTTTTTGCTTGAAAACTAACTTCAGAATTCTTATCTACCTTCTTTCCTGATGACATAGTACTTTCTGTAGGTTGATCAATTTCTAATGAGGCAGAATTATCGATAGCTTGAGCGACTGAAGAATTTACGCTGCCGTCTTTCTCTTCACTTGCCATCCACTCCATTCTCTCTGATTTATACCATCTGGACTCAAATTAAGAACTTCAATTTGTAGATGATAACCACCCCGGGCGAAACTTGTGACTGGAAAAGATATTTCAGAAAACTAGAAGCGGTTATTATTTTTGTGTTCGTTAGGTCCAAGCCATCGGGTTAAAGTGTGCACGCACTACCCGGATGCAACATAAAGCAAAATAAGCCTGTCAACTCACTGATCCATTTTGCACACATCTGTCAAATTGGGCACGAGGAGGAACCCAAAGAAATGGATGGGTCAGCGGAATCCCAGTGGATGCTAGACTGAACCAGTGGATCACTGTAATAAAGGCGTGTTTGGACTGGAGATCATTTGAAATATTATTTTGATTTGCATCATAGCTGCAATCGAAACATCAGTCATAATTTTTTAATACAAGATATGTCGTATGACATCACTAAAATTTTTATTAGTAATTTTTACTTAATTTAATGAGTTATAGAATGCTAATAATTGTGAGAGTTATGACAAATAAATATGTAATTAGTAATCTACCCATCCTTTTTTTATGAGTAAATCTTTCCTATACTGACGGTGTATACACTATCATCGTTGGATTCATAACATGTGTGCAATAGTTGAATTTCAAATTCAAATTTTGCATAGTTGTCAATCATCCAACGTTGATAGTGTATACACTGTCAGTGTAGGAAGGATTAATCCTTTTTTATTATAAATCTTGTTAAGAAGTTGTGAGTATACAATGTCATTCAGAGTGATCTTTGTTTTGAGAATTAATTGTTGTAATATATCATTTTGTTAATATATTTCTAATTTGTAAAATAGATTTTGAGGAGCAACAAGTTTTAGTAAAATGTTCCAAATGAGTATTTGTAAAGTGTGCTCTAGGAAACATAAACAATAAATTTAATTTGTAAATTTAAGTAAGGATTCATAATTAATATTTGAAAATTAATATATTTAATATAAAGCTTTACTCAATAAGAATAAAGGCAAAATGCCCCAACATTAAATTCTATAAAAATAATGACTTTGCAAATATATTGTTAGGATCTAAGCGCAGAACAAACGACTATTGAGAAATCAATAATACAATAATTTAATAATAAACAAGTCACAAGTATAAAAGATAAATAACACATAGAATTTAGCGTGATTCAACTCTATCATTGAACCTACATTCATAGAGAAAAACTCACTCTTTTATAAGAGTAAAACCTTATACAAGAATATAACTTGAATCCAAACTCAACTCTTATATATCATTTCTCATCTCCCAAGAACTCTCTCTCCCCCCCATATATAAGGGGCATGTCATCCTTATGTGCTATTTTGTAGTATGCTAACCTCCACCTATTAATAAGATACATTATTTGACCAACACCCAAGTAATAACAGAAAATAATTGCTTTTTCCTAATATCATATATGAAATAAGAAATAATTTCTAATTTCTAAACTCATACAAATAGGAATAACTTGACAACTAATCCAAGTAACTAAACCATTAGGAAACTAGTTACTTATACACAAAATGAGAAACCTACCTAAAATAAATTAAATCAATTTCCTAACATATAACTTTAAGGAAATGTCTTTAATTACATTTCTAATTGATAAACATGATGTTTTAGCACACTTCAGAAAGAGCTTCATTGGGGAAACATCTAGTTTTCTTTTTCATATCTTCATTTTGCATGGGAAACAAGAGGAATGCTCTGCTCATGGTAGAAAAAATTGTCTGGATCAACTGCACCTTTAATAAGTGCCAGCCTCTCAAAGTTATTCTTGAAGTACATTGATCCCCATACCTTAGCTTCAAAGTAAGCAATCCCATAAACGTCATTTGAACCTATGTCAAGATCTTTGATGTTCACAATAGCACCTCTTGGTTCTTTTAAAATGTGAGGAGTCATGAACTCGCATAGCCCTTCTATCCATTTCATGTACTTCTATGAAGATCTACCAGAATTATCGTCCTTCCAGGTCACTACTTATGGGAGTTCATAAATCACACTTTTCCTGTATGGAAATGGAGTTTTCTGAGTCTGATATTTCGTTCATAATCCCACCATAAGGATGAAAGGTTATAATTGTAGGAAGTCTACTTCTGAACACCATTTCCACATCTCGTTGTTGTGGTTAACTTCCTGAGCAAGGAAATATTAGGAGAAAACAGAAAGGAAATAGAACAGATTGGAGAGAGAGAGAGAGAGAGAATGAAAGAGAGTGAAAGAATATGATCTGAATGGAGTAAGAATGAATTGATCTTCCAAAAACTGTCTGAACCAATACATCCTTCAGTTATTTATACAAGATTGTGCTTATTTGCATGCAGACGTCCAGCTAACAGAAAAGATTCCTTCTAACTAACTCCTCCAGCTAAGATGCCAGCCTGGCATAACTGACGAATGATCTGCTTGAATTATGCCAGGACACAACATTGCTTCCCTCTTCAAACAATCCTAGTCCCTAGGATTCAATTCTGGAAATTGCACTCGAATAAAGGACCAATCTTCCCAAGTGGAGTCATCCTTATTCAAATTCTCCCATTCAATCAACACTTGCTCAACCTCTTGACCCTTCCTGTAAATGACTCTCTTGTCTAGAATGGCCTTGGGAGCTACCTTGAATTCTCCTTCCGCAGTTGCCTCGGGAGGTGTAGGGTGGATTTGGCTCCCATTGGCAGACTTCTTGAGAAGAGAAACGTGGAACACAGGGTGCACTGAACATCCATCTGGCAACTTCAGTTTATAGGCCACTGACCCCACCTTCTGCTCAACCTGGTATGGTCCATAATACCTGGCAGACAACTTTAGGTTCCTTCTCAAAGCCACAGAAGATTGTCTGTACGGTTGTAGCTTTAGGTACACCCAATCTCCCTCCTCAAATTTCCTATCCGTCCTGCCCTTATCAGCCAATTGCTTCATTCTATTCTGTGCCTGCAACAAGTTTTCCTTGAGTAAGGTATTCCAGTTCACTCTTTCTCTGGACCAATCCTCTACTGCAGCAACTAGTGTCTGCGTAGGTGATAAAGTGAGTTGTGAAGGTCTGTATCCATAGAGGGCCTGAAAGGGAGTCATGGTCAGACTAGTGTGGTAGTTGGTGTTGTACCACCATTCAGCTGTAGGCAGCCACTTCTTCCACTTGCCTGGTTGTTAAATGCACATACTCCTAAGGTAAGTCTCCACACATCTATTGACTCTCTCTGTCTGGTCATCTGATTGAGGATGATATGCAGAAGAGAAGCTGAGTTTAGTGCCTAGCAATTTGAAGAGCTCCTGCCAGAAAATGCTGGTAAAAACCCTGTCAAAGGTTATCTGCAATGCTTTGAAATCAAATGTTAGGGGACTGTACAGGGGCGGAGGGAAGGGGGGGCCAGGGGGGGCAACCGACCCTCTTCCAATTGTTAAAAAAAAAAATTTCTAAGTAAAAAAAATTTTATTATTATATTTTGCCTCCCCAAAAATTAATCAAAAAATTTACTTTGCCCCCCCAAGGGCCCAAATAATAATATTTGAAAGTCCAAATAACAGAGAATTATTTTCTTAACGTATGGAGTGCAAAGAAAAGATAGCCAGACGCCAGTTAGTTAACTTGGCAATTGACTGCCACAATTCTTCTTCCTAAGTAGAAACGTCAAAGTAGAAAATAGAAACGTCAAAGGCTTGAGCCTTGAAGAACTTTCTCCTGTGAAGGCTTGAAGAAACTTTCTCCTGTGAAGACCTTCCCCCGCTGGCTAAGGATTGTACATTTGTACCATTGCATTTTGCATGGTCTAGCCGTCTAGGTAAATTTTTTTTTAACAATTGGAGGGGTATAAATTTTTTTTTTTTTTACTTAGAAATTTATTTAGTGAAATGTGGGTGTAAAAAAGTTCGCCCGCTAGTTGTTTGATGAATTGATCAAGAGGGACTTGTATTATTTTTCGTACTTGTAGCATTGAGTTTTATTGGGCAAATAACTTGTCGCATTGAGTTTTAGTTTTCTGCTTGTCATTTTACTGATTTCATTTTATCATTGCTTTATTTATCATGGTTTTCTAGATAGCAGGCAGTAAGACCTCCTGAATATTTGTTCCTCTAGAATTGCCTATCTTTGTTTCTCGACATTGTGCTGAGAATTTGCTATGCAATTTAAGGAGTTTAAATTGTACATATTTATTATGGTTGGTTTCCGTTTATACTTTATAGTAATGCTTGTTTAGACTATAGAAACTTTTACTGGCATGGATAGTTATTGATTATTTTTCGGATTACAGTAGTTGATGAGTTCAAGTAGGTGTTAGTTGTTCAAGTTCAACCGATTTAATAACAAGCTATGAAAACTTCCTTGAGATATGTTTGAAATGAGAACTTGTTCTGCTCTAATGGAGATCTTTTATCATTTGTTTGCATTTTATTATTGAATAATACTTTGTGCATGTCACTTATGTCTACTTAGGTTGCAAATGTTCTTGCTGCTTTTATTCCATCTCTATAGGCCATAATCAGCATTTCTCAATCAATTTTATTTCGATTATAGGTTGTTGTTTGTTGCAAATATAGTGGTAATGGCCAACAGGACAATTGATTCTTTTTTCAAGAAAAAATGTCTAGAACCAAGTGGAAGTGGTGAAATTCCTTGTCCTCTTCGTGATTCTTCTCCTAAGCATCAAACAAAGAAATTTTGTAGAGCTGAATCATTAGAGTTTGATATTTCATCCACAGAACGTGATCCTGGAAAGAGAAAATCCATTTGGGAATATCTAGAGTATCAAAGGGATGATGTACGGAGAGCATATATTAAGTTTGGGCCATACCAACCTGAGCTTCCGATTGAATCAATGGTTGTTGACAAGAAGGGCCGACGTTTCCTTTTCTCTTGGTATAAATTGTTTCTAGATTGGTTCGAATTTTCTCCAACAAAGAATGCTGCCTTTTGTTTTCCTTGCTCACTTTTTTCCAAGCCAACGGACCGTTTTGGATCAATGGCCTTCACAACTAGTGGATTTAGATCATGGAAGAAGGTAAATGATGGAAAAAATTGTGCTTTTTTAAATCACATTGGAAAAGATCCTAATTCATCACACAAAGTGGCAATGCAATGCTATCATGATTTGGGAAACTCATTGCAACATCTTGACAAAATTATTGAGAAGCAAAATTCTGAGCAGATTGCAAAAAATCGGTTGCAACTTCAAGTTTCCATAGATGCTGCAAAATGGTGTGCATTTCAAGCGGTGGCTTTTAGGGGTCATGATGAAAGTTTAGATTCTAACAATCGAGGTAATTTTATTGAGTTGATCAAGCATGTGTCTTCTTATAATGAAAAAGTGGCTGTTGTGGTTCTTGATAATGCTCCTCGAAATGCATCTTATACTTCTCCTACGATCCAAAAGGAGATATTGTCTATTTGGTCGATCAAGATACAAAAGCATATTCGAGAGGAGATTAGTTATTCAAAATTTTCTATACTTGTTGATGAGGCTCAAGATAGATCAAAAAGAGAGCAAATGGCTATTGTTCTTAGATTTGTGGACAAGCAAGGCTATATTCGAGAGAGATTTTTTGACATTGTTCATGTGCACGAAACCAATTCCTTGACTTTGAAGAAGGAGATATGTGATGTCCTTTCTCGCCATAATCTTACTGTGCAAAACATTCGTGGCCAAGGATATGATGGAGCTAGTAACATGCGTGGAGAATGGAATGGACTGCAAGCATTATTTATTCAGGAGTGCCCCTATGCATATTATATTCACTGTTTTGCTCATCGACTGCAATTAACATTGGTAGCAACATCTCAAGAGGTAATTCCTGTGGAACAATTCTTTACAAACTTATCTCTTCTTATAAATTTAGTTTCATCTTCTTGCAAACGGGTGGACCAACTTAGAGTTGCTAGAGCTACTAGAATTGCTAAATTGATTGCTATTGATGAACTTGAGACTGGTAGGGGTCAGAATCAGATGGGTACCTTAAAACGGCCAGGGACTACAAGATGGGGGTCTCATTTTAGTTCTATCTGTAGCTTATTCACAGAATATGAAGACATTTGCTATGTCCTAATTGATGTTATCAATTATAGAAATACATCAACTCAAAGAAGTGAAGCTGACAGAGTTTATGATTTCATGACATCCTTTGATTTTGTTCTTGTTATGCATATGATGAGGGACATTTTAGGATTTGCACAAGTACTTTCTCAAGCTTTACAATGCAAATCTCAAGATATTTTGAATGCCCTTAAATTGGTTTCAGTAACAAAGGATCGACTTCAAAGTTACAGAGATAATGGATGGAATGAATTGTTCACCAATGTAAAGACATTTTGTGATGCACGAAATATAGAGATGCCTGATATGAATGTCATTTATAAAGCAGGTCGAGGAAGAATTCGAAAACAAAATGATCCAATTACCATGGAGCATCACTACAGGATTGATGTGTTTTTGGCAACGGTTGATTCTCAAATACTTGAAATGAAGAATAGGTTTAAAGAAGATATAATAGAGTTGCTTATTCTTAGTTCAGCATTGCACCCCAAAGATAATTTTCAGGCTTTCAATATTGAACAAATTTGTCAACTTGCAAACAAGTTTTATTCAGCTGACTTCACAGATCAAGAGAAGTTGCACTTAAGAACTCAATTAGAGCTTTTCCAGATTGAGTTTTCCTGTAATTCTAAACTTCAAAATTTGTCATCACTTCAGGAGTTGTGCCAAGTGTTAGCGAAGACAAGAAATTCAATGTGCTATACTCTTATTGATAGATTGATTCGTCTTATTTTGACTCTTCCTGTTTCAACAGCTACAACAGAGCGTGCATTTTCTGCTATGAAAATCATCAAGACTTGTTTGCGTTCTAGGATGGAGGAAGACTTTCTTGCCAACTCTATGATAATGTATATTGAGAAAGAAATTGCTAGAACTTTTGATGTAAATTCAATCATTGATGACTTTGATAAAATTAAAAGTCGTCGTGCACAATTTCATATGTCTCACACAGTCAAATAGATTTGTAAATATGATGATATTTTTGTATATGTGAAGCGTATAAGTAATTTTCATTCTATATAAGGTTGTTTCTAATCTTGTGGTATATATGTTCACATTATTTTTTTTAAATATATTTTACTTTCATTGTTATAGACTCGCCCCCCCCCCCAAAGTTAATTCCTAGCTCCGCCACTGGGACTGTATTTCTTCATCCAATTGACTCCAATTATCATGTCATAAGGTTCAAGTTCCAAAACAAATACATCATGCTCAAATTGGTGGCCTTGGATCTCCCACTTCATCTAAGGTACCCACTGATCGCAATGCAAGACCTTCCCATCTGCAATTTTGACTTTGAAAGGTCTATGTTTCCTGATTTTCTCAGGATATAATTGCGCAACCGCAGGTCGGATAAAACAGTTAGTACTCCCTCCATCCACTAAAACTGATAGCTGCTGGTTACCATACAGTCCTTGCATTTTGATGGTACTAGAAGATAACTCACCTGAGACCGAGTGTAGAGCCAGTACCACTGCTTGATCTGCACTGGTACCCCTATACTCTATGACCTCCTCCTCCTCTCCTTTATCTGCTTCCTCCTCATCTACTAGCAGCATGTGAAGCTCCTTGTTCTTACAAGTGTGTCCAGGGGAGAACTTCTCCCCACATTTAAAACACAAATGGTTGTCCCTCCTGTACTGAAATTCTGAAGGCGAGATTTTCTTAAAGACAGGCTGTGAATCACTCATTTTCTTAGTTTCTTCACTATTATTTGGCGGCATCCTCCTGTTCCCATTGGCACCAATGTGTCCCCCACTGAAACCAGATGGCAGCGGACTCCTGTAAGTTACTCTATTGTTTTTGGAGAGTGCTTCCAAGAGGTGTTCCTGCCACCTAGCCTTCTCAAAAGCTAGTTGAAGAGAGCCTGGTTTGTGCATTTTCACAGCAGACTTAATTTCATTCTTCAATCCACCCAAGAAGCAAGAAACGTAATAAGATTCTGACAAATTGGGAACTTTGGCCATCACTAATGCTCTTAGTTCCTCAAATCTCTCCTGGTAAGCTACTACAGATGAGGTTTGCTGCAGCTTGTTGAACTCCTCAATGGCATCATCCTCTCCCAGTTCTCTGAATCTTCTACAGAGTTCTTTCTTGAATTCGTTCCAACCAACTCCTCCCTTGTCTTTTTTGAAGTTCTGGTACCATAAATCAGCTCGCCCTTCCAAGTGCAGTTCTGCCATATCTACCTGGCTCTCTTCCGAGATTCTACAAAGGTGGAAGAATTTCTCGCACTTCCTCACCCAATCTCTAGGGTTGTTCCCATCAAATTGAGGAAATTCCAGCTTAGGAATAGCCACTGTGTAGTGATTCCTTGCTGTTACTCCACCACCAGTTCCCCCTTCACCCATTCTCCCAGCTTGAGTTCCACTGTTATGGTTAGGGCTCCCCAGAATCCACCTATCACCATGCACACCTCTCGCAAATGCACTGAACTGGTTATTCATATCAGCCATGAATGTTTTCATTTCCAGTCGATTGGCTTCCAATAGTGCCTTCACATCTTGGAAGGTATCTCCCACCTTTTCCTCCAATGCTGCCGTAGAGTCCAAAACGGTCTGGATCCGTGCTTCCTGTTTTCGCAGCTGTTCTTCGAAGCTCTTCATCCTCGTCCCTTCGGCCATGGCTAGTTGCCGCTGATAGTCCAAGGACCACCAGCTCTGATACCACTATTGTGGTTAACTTCCTGAGCAAGGAAATATTAGGAGAAAACAGAAAGGAAATAGAACAGATTGGAGAGAGAGAGAGAGAATGAAAGAGAGTGAAAGAATATGATCTGAATGGAGTAAGAATGAATTGATCTTCCAAAAACTGTCTGAACCAATACATCCTTCAGTTATTTATACATGATTGTGCTTATTTGCATGCAGACGTCCAGCTAACAGAAAAGATTCCTTCTAACTAACTCCTCCAGCTAAGATGCCAGCCTGGCATAACTGACGAATGATCTGCTTGAATTATGCCAGGACACAACACTCATCTACTGCTTTATAAGGTAGAGGTTTATGAACTAAGTCCGACTTGCTTTTGAAGAGATAATTAGGTACTGGTTGTATCCTATTCTTAAGGGCTTCTATAGTTTCTCCTCTTTGATACTTAGAAAAATGGAGTACGGTTTCAATCCAACTCATCTCAAAGCAATCTTCTTTTCTTAATCGCATTTCAGGGAAGCTTTTCTCCATCACTTTAAGAAGCTAATCGGCTTTGCCAAGGAATAATGACTGAAACATTGCTTTTGTTGCAGTTCCATTTCCAGATGATACGGTTATGAAAATCAGTAGATCTTCACTTAGCTTGTGTGTTATGCCCTGCCATTTGTCGATAAGATCTACGGTGCCTTGCTCATAAGTCTTGGATATTTGGAAAATAGTGACTACAGGTGGAACATGCACGAGCTTGATTTTCCACGCAAGGATAACCCCAAAACTTGCTCCTCCACCTCCTCTAATGGCCCAAAAAAGATCAGTTCCCATCGATTCCCAGTCAAGAATTCAACCATTTACATTAACCATGATTGCATCAATGACATTATCAGCAGCCAGTTCATACTTTCTGATCAGGTTACCTACACCACCACCACTGAAGCGTCCACCAACACCAACGCCTGGGTAGTTCCCAGTAGGAAAGGCATGAGCACAACTTTTCTCAGCAATGGAATACTGCAATTCGCCAAATGTTGCACCAGACTAAACCCAAGCACTATTTCCTCCAATATCAACGCTAATTGACCTAAGATTTCGATCAAGTATGATGAATGGAAATTCAGATCTATAGGATGTGCCCTTGAAATCATGGCCGCCACTTCGAATCCTCATTTGTACTCCATCTCGTTTGCAACATATGACTGTTGCTTGAACGTGAGAGTATTTTAGAGGAATGATTATTGCCAAAGGTTTTGCTTTTGTGCTTGATACAGAGAACCTAAGATTTTGGATTGAAGATTTCATGATGGGTAAATAAGAAGAGTTGTTGGGGAGATAAAGAACATTCAGCACTGAGATGTTTGATGAGAAGTTATTGACAGAAAGGCAATGCATGAAGCTATCAGGAAGCGAACTTGAGTATGATGATGGAATTAGTAAGGAAAACAAGGCAGTGAATGACAGAACTTTCAAACATTTCTATCACCATTTCTGTGATATTCTGAATTATGATTCCCCTCAGACACAATGTAGACTTAAAAAAGCTATGAATTGCTCGTCTTATTTTTATCCATTACAATTGACCGAGACTGATTGTCATATAAATTAAGAAATACATGCAAAGTTGGCCTGCAGGCCCGCTTTAAAAAAAAAAGAAGCTGTATTCTCTCTCTTGCATTGTAAGAAATCGTGATTGTAAGACTTATTCTCAAGTGAAGACACTAGCTAGCTCCGAATACGCAGTTCTGGTCATCTAAGATTTTTTGCATTCCCAATCTTGTATCAATTAAATATACAAGTCTGCCCATTTAATATAATTTTGTTAATTTGGGGCTCTCTTATGTAGTCAACTTGGGACAAAACTTATGGTAGTTTTAAACTTAATAACTAGGCAGACTTGTTCTTTGCTCAAAACATATATGCAGTCAATGTTTTTTTTTTTTTTTGGAATGTCTTTTACGAAAGAGCCATTTATTTTGTCCTTCTTTCAGGGTTGCCTCCGGCAATAAAGAGCCAAATATCGAACTTGTAGAACCTTTGATGTAGTCTCACCAAGGAACCATGCATATTAAGGTTAATATCTATTATTGTCTCATTTAATTTAGCTTATAGCTTTTATGTGATCTCGTCAACTCATATTATGTTGCTTGATTTTTTTGCCTGCCAAATTCCGTGACCAATCTGTCATTAAATACATACATTACTAGTTATCAACTCATTTCGCCTTTAGAATCATTTGCTTCGAAGTCTTTCATGTGGGCTTATGTTAAATAAGCCTTAAAAATGTACAAAACCTGAATTAGAATGTGTTTGAAAGCATGATGATTAAGTGGTTTCAATATGACATCTATCCCTCATTCTTTGTTTTGGTTCTTTGGCTACATGCACTTAGGACACAACACAGAATGTAAGCCAATTTTATTTTGTCCCACAAAAGTTGTAAATTCTCTATGCTAAAGTATCAGCAACTTAAAAGATTAAGTTTAAGTGCTGAATTGAATTATCAAACAAACCCTAAATAGTTTCAATACTCATTCTTTGTAAATTCTCTATGCTACAACTTAGAAGATAAAAAGAATGCTAGAACTTTATACTAATCCCTAATTTTTGTATCTTTATTGTGTACCTTTGGCGTATAGAATAGAAAATTTTGGTCACTTCCTTACAAAAGGTCGGATGTTCAAATCTAATTGCTAATATAAGGATGTGTTGATAGACAATACGTACCGGTAAGGCTGTGTTGGTGGTCAATCTGTAAAAATTCTTGTAGACAATCCATGGTTTCGGAAGCATGCCCTAACCGACGGTGTTGATTAAAGCCAACCCTATCCAAACTTTTTGGTACCAAAATATTTTGTTTATTTACTTGAATTCTCCAACTTTGTCCTTAGGAAACAATAAAAAAGGTGGCGAGTATGTTTTCCCTTTTTTTTTTGTAAGCCTTTCAATATTTTGTGGTCAATTTCACTCTTTCATTTTTTTTAAGTATTGACTTGGAACATTTAATAGACTCAAATCTAGTAACTTTTAATTCAACAACTCTTCATCAGAAGGGTTCTTGTCGTCATGACGCGCCCGCGTCACCAGGATGCATGGTAATGAACAATTTCCAAACTCCCCATCAGAAGGGTTTCCACCCTTATGGCGCGCCCGCGTCAACCTAGCACGTGGTAACTTTGAACTCGATAGACATTCATCAGAAGGGTTCTTGCCTTCTTGACATGTCTACATCATGTTCAAGGAAAAGGTAAGTATTTAAAAAAAATTAAAAATTTAAAAAAATATATTAAAAAATAACAAATATTAAAAAAAATTTCGTTTACGATTAAATTTTTAAAGTTCAAATTTTAAAATTTGAATTTAAAATTACAAAAAAAAAATCGCAACCTTTCTTTTCTTTTTCTTCTTTCTTTCTTTTTCTTTCTTTCTCTTTTCTTCCTTTCTTTCTCCCCTATTTCTCTTGGTTCTCTCTCGCACGAAATCCACAAAGCCGCCGCCGTCCTTCTCGTGTCTGCCACCATCACGCCGCCGTCTCTCTCTTTCCCCTACCACTCATCTCACTCCTCGCCTTGCACCGCCATCCTGCATACACCAATGCGTACTACAACTCTCAATCTCCCTCGACCTACTGCCGCCACTGTCGCAACGTGACTTGCGGCGCCTGCTGCACTGCTGAGTCCCGAACCAGGTCGCCGTCCCAGCTGACTGCCACATCGCTCGCGGTGTCGACAGCTACCCACACGACACCTCTTTCTCGCCTCTATCGCGTCGCTGCCATCACCGCACACGCCATCCTCCTCACCAAGCCGCGTGCCATCCTCGTGCTTTAGGGACCCATTTGGTTGGGAGTCGCCGTCACTGCCACCCAGATCGAGATGCAAGTCGATGTCCTATTTCTCCCAACCTGCTACTTCTCTCGTCGCATATCGCTTCTATTAGTCGTCAGTGTGGAGGTATTCACCCTTCTCAACTCTTAACTGATTGTTTGAAGCATCAATTGTAGGGATTGATTGTTGGACTCACTTGAGGATTCCTCTACTGCATTATTACTTGATTGAGTCGAATTGAATTGCTGAAAGTTATCTGAATATTGATTCAATTGCTGACTTATGTGGGTATTTGTTGAGCTTTTGTTGGCTCAAATGTGCATCTAACTATTCAATTGAGAGACAACAGCCTTGTTCAATTGATTGTTGCAATAGCCATAGTTGCTACAACTGTTTTACAGGGTTCATATATTTGCTGGAAAGTTTGTTTCTCTTGTTAATTGGGTTGATAATTGGAGACAATGGTTAGGCCGAGGTCTACCTCCACATCTAGAAACCCTAACACTCAACCCACTCCACCTCAACCCACCATTCTTGTGAATGAACCTACCAACCAACCTTCCTCTTTGGGTGTGTGAACACATCTAGATAGGCGTAAGGGTGTCCATGTTGCTACACCTTCTCACTTTGGGGATCATCTGAACTTCACAAGGGCCACCGATAAGCAGTGATATGTTGTGTGCTCCGAGTGGCTTATCATCTCCTGCAAATGTTGTGAAAAACTTGTCATGGGTGCACTGGGCATAAGGGAAGAGGTTGAGCGGATATTTACCGCCATTGGTTGGCGACCTTATCTTAAAATTTTCTGTTGCGTCTTTGTCGAACTGGTTAGGGAGTTTTACTCTACTTTGAGTTTGACTTGCCTACGGGGTATACTGTCGATACCCCAAATGTGATTCATTTTCGTCTAATGGGTCAAGAGTTCAATTTTCCCATTACTCAGTTCAATTTGGCATTTGGATTCATTACTCGGGAGTATGTTGAGATGAGGGGGTACGCTGAGAGTGCTTGTGACTACATAGAACCATTTTTCTCTCACTACCACGATATTTGGAAGGAAATGTTTGTCGACGGGGACCGTTACGACTCTTGTTTGGTTAGAATAGGGTTTCTCTAAATTTTAAAGCAATTGCGAAATTGAATTCTACAGTCGTACTTTTTTTTTTTTAAATAAAAAACTTTATTAATATAAATAATAGAAAGAGCAGGACCAAGAAATACAATGTCAACCTGGGTAACCACCCCTTACCGGCCTAGCCACTCCTCTCCTCCTAACTGAAGGTATGCCAGCCTTGTCTAACCGAGTTTCTCCCCGCGCCAAACGAGGAAGTTCACTGAGCTGATTGTAAATGGTGATATGCGGGTGGGTGTCCGACGCACCCACGTTTGCTAGACAGTCTGCCACCCTGTTTGCTTCTCTGTAACAATGGGCCACATGCGTCACATCTGCAACCATGCCCCAGATCTCTTCCACCTCTCTTCGTATCCTCTACGGGCACAGCAGACGACGCTGGAGAATCCCCACCAGGACCAAGGAATCGACCTGTATACTGACGTTGGTAAACCCCTTCTGCCCGCACAAACGTAGCCCCGTTACCAGTGCCAAAGCTTCTGCCCGCAGACTCGATGCTTCCCCAAAGTACGCCGAGAAGGCAAAACAGAGAGACCCCGCTGCATCCCGTAATATCCCTCTGCCACCACTCACTCTTGGATTCCCCTTGGAACACCCATCTGTGTTTAGCGTTAGCAAATGAGCTGCCGTCGCCTTCCATCCCACTACCTGATACCTAAAACGGGGTGCTTGATGTCGAGACCACTCATATAACTGGGGCATCGTAAGTAATTCCAACCGCTGGCCGAACTGAGCCTCCACCACGGCCTTCACGTCGATAAGCACGTCACGACAAACTCTTGACACACACATTTGAATACCTTCAAAGTGCGCTTTATTCTGAGCCTTCCAGATGTGCCAACAAATGAAAACGGGCAAAATAGTGAACACAACCTGTCGTCTCTTCGACCTGGGCTTCGACACCCACCAAGACATCATCCATGCTCGAACATCTGAACCATGTCGAGCAATCCCGCAGATGTTACCGAAATAGCTCCAAACTTCCATCGCAACTTTCCCGGCCGAGAATACATGCTCCAGCAGCTCCACCGCCCCCTCAGGGCAGCATAAACACTTCGAAGCCAACTGGACGCCCACCCTCCACAAGGCATCAGTTATAGGCAGCTTTCCGATAAGCAGCCGCAGCATGATGAACGAAATCTTCAACGGGATTTGAGGATGCCAAACCTGACCGTGGATCACTGAAACCGCGCTAGCCTGATGGACATTGTCAAATGCAGATGCTAACGTGAACCTTCCTGAAGCTGTCGAACTCCAGAACACCTCATCCTGCCCTTCTCCCCTCGGAACTGGATGATGCTTTATCTGATAGGTGAGATGCCTCGGGAGAAATTGGCCAAGCGCCTGGACATCCCATTCCCCATTTATGACGAAATCCCTGAAGGTGACTGTTTGGTGTACCGGAACCTTAATAAACAGGCCTCCATCGCCAAGCCAATTATCATACCAGAAGTGACAAGTCCCCCCGTTCACCATCCAAACCATGCCCACCTCTACCTGACGACTGATATTTAACATTCGCCGCCAAGTCGGTGAATCAGAGCTTCTCAACTCCACCTGGCAGGGGTGGAGACCCCTGCAATACTTTGCTCGGATATAGTCTGCCCAAAGCGATGTACCTGTCCGAAAATTCCACCATAGTTTGCACGAGAAAGCTTCGTATACATCCCAAAGCCTCCTGAACCCCGCACCCCCCTCCTCAACCGGGAGGCATAACTGAGACCATCTAATCCAATGAAGCTTCTTTCCTTCCCCTGTAGCTCCCCATAAGAAGTTTGCGCAAGCCTGTTCAATTCGCTTAAAAACTGACACGGAACACACCGCAGCCGACAATAAATGCACCGGGATAGATGAGAGCACATGCTTTATCAACACTAACCTGCCCCCCTGTGATAACATCCTAGATTTCCACGAAATGATCCGAGCTACCACTGCCTGACACACTTCTCCAAAGTATGCAGCTCTGCATCTACCCGTGTACAACGGGAAACCAAGATAGCGAATCGGAAACTCCTGCCGCGTAAAGTACGTAATCCGCTCAATAACCCGTCGTCTAGCTGGTGAAGTACCCCTGTGGACCATGTAACCACTCTTATGATCATTTACCAGTTGGCCTGAGGATTGCTGGTATGCCTCGAGCACTTGCATAGTACGCTTCAAGGCCGGAGCCGACCCATTGGTAAAGATGAGCACGTCATCCGCGAAAGCAAGGTGCGTCACAGCAGGACAACTTGGGAAGCCTCTATACCCGATATGCTGAAAGGCTAGGGCATTTAACCCCCGCGACAACATTTCCGACCCAATAATGAACAAAACTGGGGACAACGGGTCCCCCTGACGTAATCCCCCACTTGATTTGAAAAACCCGTGAGACTTACCATTAATAATAATGGAGAACCAGACATTGGAGATGAGCCTCCATACCAGATCAATCACCGTCTCCCCAAACCCAAACGCACGCAACATGAAAATAATGTGCCCCCAGGACATCTGATCATAAGCCTTAGTCATGTCCAGTTTTAACGCTACGTTTCCCCCTCGCACCTTCTTACCAATACCCCTTATCAATTCTTGAGCCAGCAAATAATTATCTGTTATAGACCGGCCTTTAACAAATCTCGTCTGCTGGGGGGAAATAAATTTCGACACTACCGAGGCCAGCCGACCCACCAAAATCCTTGACAAGACCTTGTTAAAGAAATTGCAGAGGCTGATCGGTCTGAACTTCGAGAAATCCTGGGGATTCGCCTGTTTAGGGATCAGCACTATCGAGGTGGAAGTAATGAACTTAGGCAACTCACTTCCACAGAAAAAACTCAGCACTGCTCTGTGAACGTCCTGGGCAATGATATCCCACGCGAACGTGAAAAACTTGCCTGTGAAGCCGTCCGGGTCAGCAGCGCTCTCGCCGTCCATGTCAAACACTATTCGTCGAACTTCCTCCATGTCTGGGGCCTCTGCTAACAAAGCGTTATCAGCAGTCGAAACTATTGGCGGGATTAAATGTCCCAAGTCCCCCGGATTGAAATCCAAAGACCCTGAGAAAAGATCGGAAAAATACTCGACCGCCTCCCTTGCTATATCTTTGTCCCTGTCCACCCATGTCCCCGCTGTTGTCTTCACCCGATGAATCGCTCCTTGTACTCTCCTTTGCTTGACCACCGCATGAAAATACCTCGTGTTTCTATCCCCAGCACTGAGCCACTTGACCCACGCTTTTTGCCTCCAAAACTGTTCCTCAATCGTCAGAGCCCGATTTAATTCTGCTTGCGCTTGATGTATCTCCTCGTTCTCCCCATTAGAGCCTCCATATCTCGTGTCACCCTCTAGCCTTTCCAGTCGATCCTCCGCTTCGTTAACAGCCGACCCAATGTTACCGAAATGCAGTTTATTCCAGTGCTGAATCGCCCTCCGAGTTGCAAGTAACTTTGAACACAACACTCGTAGTGGTGACCCTTGAGTCGTCGGTTCCCAAGCTCCTCTAATGACCTCCAGTAGGCGTGGTTGGGATGTCCATGCATTCAAAAAACGGAATGGCCGCGGCCCATTATCAAGCCTTGAAGAAAAGGACACTTTCAGAGGAGCATGATCCGACGGGTGTCTCGGAAGATGCACAACTGAGATTACCGATGACCCCTCAGCCCATGCCCCATTAATAAGCATCCTATCTAGCCGCTTCCAAATTCTTGCCCTACCTCTCCGGTTATTGCACCATGTGAAACTCTGGCCTGAGAACCCAACATCGAAAACCTCGGCCTCCTCCATGAAAGCCAAGAACTCTAAACCTTCAGAAACCGAAAAAGGCCTCCCCCCTCGCTTCTCATTTGCACCCACAATAACGTTAAAATCCCCCCCAATGAACCAAGGCAGTGATGAAGGCTTATCAGATAAAAGTTTCTCCCATAAGCCCCTCCGTCCCTCAACTGAGCACAGCGCATGCACAAATGAGAAAACCATCGGTCTCGGAAGCCATGGGTGATGAATATGCAGCGAAATGTGCTGTGAGGAAGAGCCCACCACCGAACAAACGAAAGGGGAACTATAAAAAATCCACAAATCCTCGGACTCATTTACAAGAGCATAATCAAAGGATAATTTCAAACGAATAGACTCCAATCTAGAAGCATCCAATTTTGGCTCAGAAATGGCCACAAACTGAACACCGTGCTGCCGAACAATGTGTTTCAAGCGTCGTAAATTGGGAGGTTTAGACACTCCTCTAATATTCCACATCAGGGCATTAATCATAACAACATACCTGGGATGAGCTAATGTTGGTATTTAAGGACCGTAATTGTCTGTCCGATTTGAACCGAGCACGCAAGCCTTTCCCTTTTCTTCTTTTGCCACTCTTGACCTCCTCCACAAGAGGATCAACATTTAACTCCACAAGAGAGGTATTCGGACTTGTCTCACGCCTAAACACAAACCTTGGCGACAAGTTGCCTGCCACCTGCGGTAGCTCCATCCCACTCCCTTCTGCACTGTCATCACTCTCCTCCATAGAGGATGACTCGTCCTCTGCGACCATCACATCCCTAGTCCTCCCGTCCCCAGATAACTCAATGCAAATGCTGTCAACAAGTCTCAGATCCTGTAAGGCCTCTTTCCCATGCAGCAACCCCCCCATTGATTTTTCCGATGCAGCCCCCTGGGACTCCACAGCAGTCCCCGTGATCTCATATGTAACTGCCAGAGCCTTGTCCCGTGGCTGATTTTCACCTTCCACTCGAGCCAAATCCTGCGTACCCACAGTCTGACGGACATCCTGGCCCCCCACCAACCGTCCGTTCAAAGAAACCGCCGAACCCACCTCCCTCTCCTCTTCGCATACAAGCACAGCCAGGCGGTCAATTTCTTTCTCTGCCGCCATTTGTATAGCCTCGTCGACTATCTGCTCCACTCCTTTAACATCGCAACCCTCTGGCAACCCTTTCCCCCCCTCCTGGGCCCTTATTGGGGTTATCCCCTGCCCCTCCTTCGACCCACTTTGAGGAATCTCCCTGATGCCCCCCAACAGGTCCCAGCTGCTGGTGCAGCTCTTCTAAAGCATCTGTGTTGTTCCCTGCCAGCGCTGTGACCCCAGCACCCTCTCCTGGAGCCTCCCCAGCAATATCGCTGACCCCCCTCATAGTCGCAACCTCTGTGGACCGCTCCATAGGAGCACCATCAGCAGTCCCCACCTCCAGAGGGCCCCGCGACTGATAAACCTGGTTTCGCTTTCTCCTGCCTCCATGGATAGCATCCGTTCGCAATGTCGGATTCTTTATTTTACACTCTTCGATCGCATGCCCCTGATGGAAACAATGGCTACAATACTTGGGGAGCCCCTCCGGCATCAGATGCTGCCAGAACCCCATCCTTTCCCCAAACGAAATCCAAATCCTGCTCGGCAGAACACGTTGCAAATCCACTTCAATGCATACTCTAGCAACGCTTGGCCGTGACCCGCGCGCTGTTGCAGCGTCAACACACAGCGGCCTTCCCAAACACTCCACAATGGGAAACAGAAACTGCTTCTGAAACAGATGTATGGGTAGTTTTGGTAGGGCAAACCACACAGGTGCTAACGAAGCCTCCCTATCCACATGAAAGTCGATTGTCCACTTAAAGACTCGCATAGGGACATGATGGACGTACTATATGTTTCTTGCCCACACACGGAAGAAATCTGCTTCATTCTCCAGCCGAATCAGAACATGTCGTCGATCCAACAATCCAAGTGATACCTCTCCCTTCAGATCTAAAGCCCGGAAGAATTTGCGAAGTTCCTCCATCAGCAGCCGGCTCTTGGAAAATTTCCCTACTAAAGCAAACTGAAAAAGCGCGGCAGCGCTCTCCATGTCCGCCATTGAGAAGCTCACCGCTGGCTCTCCTCGATGCGTAGTTGTTACTGCTTGAATCCTCGACCCCTGTTGTGCAGCAGCTGTAAGCGCCGCAAAGGACTTCGCTTCAAACCCCAACCCTGGACGGGCCGAAACGACAGCCGCAAAGGAAGGCTTTCCATCCCTCACGGCGGCCGAGAGAGCAGCCATGGCGACCCTCAGCCTAAGCTGCTGTCACACCCCAGCGCCGCAAAAAACCCTAAGCTAGTACTATTTTATTAAGTGTTATGGTAAAAGCTGTCTATAGGGCAATAGCTAACAATCGTACCTTAGCTATCAATAATTATGGAGAAATTGATTGTTATCGCTTGTTTAACAATTATAACTTATTTATCTGTGGAATTATTCTTGCATCGGTGATCAATTAGGAGAACCATTTCCGAAATTGCTTCTTGACTAGAGCCTGTCCAATACTATTTACAATTTGCCATTTAATTTTATTTAAGTGCAATATTCGATTAGCATAGCTAATTGTTCATTTCTATAAAATCTCCCCATAATTTGAACTTTAGCAGAAACGAATTACTCCTAGTCCCTGTGGATTCGACCCTACTTATCACTATCTACAAAAATTATATTTTGTTTGAGCAGGTATTTATTATTACACAGGCTCTACAACCTGTAAAAAAGTAGACTTCCTTCCATTGTAAAGCCATATTCAATTCACCCAAAAGTTATAATAATGTAGCCAGGTTATTAATTGTTCGTTACTTTACAAGATGATACTTTAAGTACTGATTTAAGGTTAAATTGACCACAGGAGTTACACTTTCTTAGAACTAAAATAATTTAAAACTACTTTTATGAAGAATGAAATAGAGTAATAGCACAAGCATTTGTTATTACCAAAAGGTTTTTAGGTGATTTAAGGATAGAATTTTGGGGATCCATATCTTTTTGGAAAAAAACATTTGGGTCTTAAATTTAGGATTTGGGAAAGTAAATGGATAAATGGATGGATCATGGTTTTATACTATCCATTTAAATGACATCCATTTAGATCCATTTATTAAATGGTTTTAATTGGATTGGATCAATTTGATCCACTATCCATTTAACTAAAACTATTTATCCACCATATATCCATTTTGCCACTTCTATATCTCACTACGTATTAACATAAAATCTTATTTACCATAATATATTAGTCAGTAGCGTTCCATGTCAGTTTACGTTTAGAATTTCATTACTTCAACTTGTAAAGTTTGCCTGGAAATTTTATATATAAATATATATATACACACACACATAAGAAGAATAATATTGTCATTATTTCTGATACCAATTTTAATAGCGTGATCTCTCAATGATCTTTTGTCTCCATAACTTTTGAATATAATCGACGGCCGGCCGCTGCTGGCGCCAGCACCTGTGACAATTTGTCTTCTTTAACATATCTAGTCTATTGCGGAATGGGGGACTTTTCAATTGGGTTCTGATTGCTGATGTGGCGGGCCTCTATTGGCCGATTGGTGGTCGTCTGCTTCGTGTGAATTCACTCGCGTGAATTGGTCGTCCAACCAATTGTTTCTTTTCTTTGTTTGCTTGGACCTCTAGCTTGGAAGCCTGCCGCTAAATTGTGGTCCCACGTCCTTTGTTTTTTTTTTCCTTTCCTTTTTTTAATTGGATTGGAAGTGCTTGTTAATAACCTTTTTTGGATGCTACAGCGCCTTTCATACCCTTATTGGATTGGAATTACCTCTAATTACAAATTATTTGAAATTCGTTGTTAATAACCGATTAATAATGCTGTGTTTTTAATCATTCAACAAAGCATGTTTAATTAGCATTTTTCCCAATTATTAGGAAAAAAAAGGCTTTTTGTGGTTGCTCAAAAAATCACATTTAATTATCAAATTTTTTCCAATTAACTGTTCGTTAACTGATTAATAATTTCAATTTTTATTACCTAACAAATCACATTTAACTATCAACCTCTTACAATTATTAACATATTTGTAGTTTCCAAATAAATCACAATTACTTATCAATTTCTTGTAATTGACTTATATTAATTATTAACACGTTTTTTTTTGGAATGAGAGGGGAAGGCATTCGACTATTTATTATTTATCTTTTTTTATTTGGATTCCATTTTTTTACCCAATAAATCATGTTTAATTACCAATTTTTTATTCTTAATTGTTAATAACTAATTAATGATGCCATTTTTTTCCTTTCTCAACAATAGATTGTGTTGCCAAAATACTTGGTATCCCAATTCTTTACAATTATCAGTAGTGCTTTCCCTTGGTTTCCAGATAAATCGCAATTATTAATTATTAATTTTTGTTGTAATAATTGCTTATGTTATGCTTGAAATGTATTAATTATTATATATTATCATTTTTTTTGTGATTGCTTTTGTTATCCTCCAATTGTGAAAGTTGTTTATTACTTGGTCACGCCACATACCATGTTTAATTATCGATTCTAGGCTATTAATTGTTCTAATTATTTATTTACCTATTTTTATTTGGGTTCCTTTTTTTTGTTACCAAATAAATCATATTTAATTATCAATTTTTTTCAATAAATTGTTAATAACTAATAAATAATACCATTTTTTTGTTACCCAACAAATCACATTTAATTCATAACTTTTTTGCAATTATTAGCAAATTGTTTTTTTGTGCTTGTCAGAAAAATCACATCTAATTTCCTTTTTTTCAAATTTCATTAAGAAAATGTCCTCTTTTGTTTTGGGTTGCCCAACAAATGAAGTTTAATTATCAGCTTTTTTCAATTACTCTTTTATTAATTCAGTTCTAATTTGGCAGTTTAAATCACATTTAATTACTAGCTTTTATAATTATTAATACTTTTTGTTACCCAAAAATTTCGCATTTAATTACCAATTCTATGTACTTATTGGCCAAGAAATATGCTTGTCTTATTCTTTTCTTTCGTTACTTTTCCTGTCGTAACCAAACTTCTTATTGCTAATGTGATTGACTCATTTTTACAAACAAGCCTGCATTTTGTTTGTTTAGTTCCAAAGCATGCTTTCTCGAGTTCCTCATCAGGCACTACTTGTCACCAGCTTGTTTTTGCCGACAAGTGACTGTACTTGAGCTAATTAATGCCTACCTTAATTTTCTATATTACCCATCCCTTGTGGCTATATTTACGCTTCCGCTCAATAGGCCTTGTAGCCTTTTTTTCCTTTACTTGAGGTTATGTCTGTAAATCTGTAAAAAAATCGTCTTTTTGCACCATTGTCTACCATCAGCTTCCTTTTGCTGTCGTTGATTGACATTGTTTAGTGTTTTGCATTTGCACAATGGTTACAGAGTTTCTCTGGTTTTCCGCGGCGGATTTTCTACGGAGCATCATCATGAACAATGGTAATTGTGCATCTTCTGCATTCTTTTCCCTATTGCATTACTCTTATTTCTTTGTTAGACAAAGAGAACTACCTCATACGGATTGTTCTTCGTTTTCTTTGGCTATTTTGAACCTTCGTTTTCCCTAATTTATTAGTTTGGTTTTAATTTGCACTGGTGCTGTCGTTTTTGCTTCCTGGTGAGCATGTTGGTTTTATAGTTCGCTTTCATTTGTTGTTCTTTAATTGTTTAGATATTTCAGAATTGCTATCATGCTGCTTTGTTTTTTATTTCTTCCTTGCTTCTCAGCTTTCTAATGCACTGGTTCAGCTGTTTTTTACTTTTTTGTCTGCCCCTTTTAAATTATTATCACCAAATTAGCTTTTTTTTTTCTCTCCCCTTTTTTTTCACCTTTTCTTATTACCTCTTACATGATTGTCATTTCTTTGATAGTTTCTGCTGTTATTCACTTCTGTGGTGTTGAGCTTCTTCGTGTTCACAGGTTAGTTATTCTGATTTTGTTCTCCTTTTGCTCTTTTCTCTATATTTTATCTTTAATTTGTGCATCTTTGGCATGCATTTTCTGATGCATCAGTACTTATGGCCTGCTCCAGTTTTACCTTTTTTTAGTTTGGGACTTTTTGACTTTCTGTACCTTTTGTGATCCTTATACTTGCATATATGAGTTATTCTATTGTTTTTGGTGCTATATTTACATGCCTGAGTATTTTTTATGTAAACATTCGTTCTTTGCTCAGTTGTCGGCTATTAACTCCTTTACCTCCTTGCTGTTCATTTGTTTTTTGCCTGCTTTGTTTTCTACCAGTTTTCGATTTACATTCTTTTTTGCTAAGTTAGATATTCCTTTCTTTATATAATCCTTCGACATTTTGTGCTCTTAGTAAAATCGATGGATAGAAATGCTACTCGCCGCAAAAAATACGCAGAAATGCCACCTTCGAAAAAAATGAAACTTCTGCAACGTCAAAAAGAAAATAGAGCTGCCAAGAAAAAGAATGCACATTTACTCTCACGTATTCGTAAGGTTCCACTTGGTTATATGGAATCGGGTGTTTCTTTCCCTGATTCACATCATGAAAAACTTGATGGTGCGAATCACTCTTCTATGCATAGTGAAATGTTAGGAGGTGAAGCCTTGAAGAGCGGTCATGACAGTACTTATGTCATTACTGAGGCATTACAATATATGTCCTCTCGCGAGTCTGCTCCTTTTATTCCTCACGTCCATTCTGCTCCCTCTTCTGAGACTGCAAATGACATGCCAAATGCAAGTATTCTTGCAGGTATAGTAGGAGATGTCCTTCTTTTGCTGCTTTCTTCTTGTCCATTTCTTGGTTTTTAGACCGCTTTCGCTTCCCTACCTGCTGGTTGCTGATTCTACATTTCGATTCTTTGTAAATAAATGCATCTTCATTTGCAATCTGCAGAGTTTCCACTTACTGTTAAGGCTGATCTTAGGAGCTGCAAAGGAAATTTTCTTCCAGAAAAAAGAAAAAAATTGAACCTTCCTTCTTCCACTGTTGAGCCTGATTTCTGTCTACCTAGGAGAAAATTAGGAACTCTATACCTGTAGCATTGCATGATGGACTAGGCGATTGCTTTAATCGTTCTGATAGCGTCATCCAAGCTCTCAACTTTGACAAAGAGGATTTGCTTATGAACAATCTTTTTGAAAATCCAGCTGAGTATTGTTCTTCAGCCCATGTTTCTGTGAACTCTGAAGAGCTTTATCCTCTCACAACTACAAGTGAGACAGGTCAATTTCTGTAACAAAATGATGCATCATTTAAGGAGCAAGATTCTATAATTAGACCTACTTGCTCTGTTCCTGTGCTGTCAGTTGACAGGCCCAATAGCTCTTCTCGAATTTCTGAGAGCATCCTGCAACCTTCTTGCATAGGCAAAGATCCTCTACTTGCTCCTGAGCTTTTTGAAAATGTTGTTGAGTACTCTTCTTTGCCCAAGGTTCATATGAAATCTGGTCAACTGTAATCTCTCTTTAATGGTAGGCACCAAATATTTCATTTTGGAAAAAATATGCCACCCTCTGAGAACCACACTTGTGAAACAACTTCTGCTTCTCAAGGTACATTTTTTAAACATCAACTATTCTCAACACAACCCTGTTGAGTATTCTTTAATTCCCACCGCATGCTGATTGTGTTTGCTGAAATGACATTAGCCCCTTTTGGTTAGCTTATTTCTTAATACGGTTGCAGAAACCTCCTCTGTTCCGGAGAGACAATCTACCCATTCTATTGGAAAAAATGATTCTGTGAGGAAAGCAACAACAATTTCCCACTCTTCTGGTTTCTCATGTAAAGTTCAACCTTCGACCCAAAATCGCTGTTCTCGTCACCGTGTGAGGAAGCAAACTCCGGGTTGGCATTTTATTCTTCGATAGCTATTTCGGGTATTTTAGATGCCATTGCTAATTAGCCTAATAGAGGCACAGCTCAATTCGCTTCTTAGCTATAGTTTCGAAATAAATGCAGCTGCACCTAAAAGAGGGAGGCAGCGACGAATTTTTTCGATCAATGAAATACTCCACGAAGCTTTAACTCTTCCAGATGCTCCTGATTATGAGCATTGTAGAGCCAAGAGGTTCTATTTGGAACCTCCTAACTTTTGCTGCTCTGGAGGAGATATTTCTATTGTGGCTCCATCGATGCCTTATGATCTTAAGCGCCTATTTATCGAAAATGACAAGGAAAGTGCTCATTTTAGAAACAATGTTCGGTCTTGTAATAACAACTTGGGATTCACATCCTTTGCTGCAAAATATGATCCAGAACTGACCAAGAACACGAAAGGTGTTTATACTTTCCGTGTTCAAGATCAGGTCTATCATATCCTTAATAGTTTGATGCAGTCATATGAAAAACCTTTCGTGAACACAACATTGTTAAAAGGCATGACATGCTATTACTTCGACATAGCGGGAATCTAATATTTGATGTCATTCACTTTTGTGAACTACAAAAACAAGTTTTTTTGCCTTGGACCGTTCCCCTACCAGACCAGTTGCATATGAATGTCATTGCATCAAGAGGTCAAAATACCACTGTGTCTATCTCATATCCTCATCCATATCATATATTATTTTTAATGTAACACATAATCACTAATTACAGATGATATCCACATGACCGCTGGACAGCAGCAAGTTACTTCCTCGCTAAGACCAAATTTCTGTCAAGATCTATCTGATTCGGTTTGCTTTTATCAAATCTTTAACTCGGCAACTCCAAATAGTTTGGTAAGCTATTCTATGTTTGCCTGCATTCTCTTTGTCATCTCAACTTTTTGGCAAGCAATTTCCTTTTGTTTCTTCATATCTTCTAATCTACACCTCTTGATAATAGAAAATTTCGCGCTTTATTGATCACTTCATCAATGGTATCAAGACTCCCATGTTACTTGTCAACACTGGACATAGAAGTACTCAAATTGGTGTAAAGAATAGACGCCTTCACCAAAACTGGAGAGATTTCGTTCTTCAGCATCAATTGCAGCACAACGAAACTCTTGTCTTTGTTCCGAAATCTGAAAATATATTTACGGTTTGATCTTCGATGATACCAGAGTTGAAAAAATTTTTCTTTGGTATCACACATTCAATGTTTATTCGGATGCTTAATGAATTTAGCTGAACCATGCAGTGTAATTTACCTATCGATTGAATACATTACTGGTAGTTTTCATTTCTTCTTAACTAAACTAAGCAACCACTAGATCACGATCCTTAATACATTACTTCTTCTTTGAATCAACTAATTTTACCAAATTCGTTATTCAACTGGGCATTACTGGGCATCATTACATTTGCCCACCGCGCATTGCGTGGGATCCCTCCTAGTCATTGATAATGGGACAACAAAGATATAAACTATAAAGGCACTCAAATAAAATAAAGGCAGTATGACCTATTTTCCACAAGGCAGCAAAAACGTTATTGCATAGGAGGTAAAACCGGTCATCAATTTCAAGATAGCTAAACTAAACACAGGTTTGTATAGGAGTTAAATCAAGATTTTAGTACTATACAAAACGGGATTTGTTGTAGTGAAGCAAAAAGAAGATAGAACATGTAGGTTTTGTAAGAAGTGATTGCTAAACCCTCAGCTTCTTCCTTCTCTTAATAATAGACTAGATGTACAAGAATGGAGTCAACAATTTTATCTTTCATAATTTTGCATTTTATCACACAATCCTCCTATTGTTTAAAATATCCAATTAACCTATCTACACTACAACAAATATGGTCTTTCTTGACACGCTTTTTAGGACACTTATTGGTTTTGTCATTATAGCACTTTTATTATGACACTTGTTATTAATTCAATAATATATACTTTAATTTTTTTTATTTTATCCGATATAAAAAGAATAATGTGTCTTTAGATTCCTTATCATGACACTTGAAAAAATATGAGATACACCAAAAAGAAAATTAAACATAAATGATGTCATTTGATTTTGACAGAAGATTCCTTTGCCAAAACACTCAGTGAAATCTGAAAATTTTCATTTTGCGGCCAGCGAAATTTTGGTTCTTCTCATCTATCTCACAAACTCTCTCTCTCAGCAAACTACCTCTCAAAACTCCCCCATTTTGGTTCTTCCATCTTCCGCCTTCGCCGCCCCACTCCCCCATTTTCAGATGCTAACTCGGCAGCTTCTCTACCCTCCTCGTCAACCACGACACCTGCACCAATAAGCCTTCGCTCTCTTTGCTAGGACAAAGAGAATAAGAAAACAGATACTTGTGCTCTTTCCTTTTCTTCTTTCGTTTGAAACCCATCCCCATGCTTTTCCTTACTGACTAGATATTCAGGTTGAGTGTGCCGAGGAGTAGAGTAGGCAAAGGTTGCTGCCATTGTCTCACTGGAGTCCAACCACTACAGCGGAAATCATCACTGTAAAGTTTCCTGCACTCTTATACCTTTTTTCCCCCTTAATTGTATTTTTTTCTTCTTTGTTTGCAATCATGTCGGTTATGCTTTACTTTCATCTTGTTAATCGATTTTAAGTGGTTGGAATTGATCATAGGTTTGAGTAGAGTTTTAGATTTAAAATTCAAGCTCAGGCCGTATAAGGAATTGATGAAAAAGAAATTTCAAAACTTTTCATGCTCACTACCTATTTGTCGGAAGGTTCGAATGAAGAAAGAAGGAAATTTGTAAGGAAGTGAACTGAGAGATGAGAGTAATTGGAGAGTGATGAGAGTGAATAATTACTTCTATGATATGACTACTATGAATCTTATTCTATCTTTTATTAATTCACTCCAATTTGTGCTGAAAGAGAAATTTTGTGTATTTATACATGAGAATCATACCCATGCCATGCTTGCTGAGGAAATCAAGGAGAAAACTGCAAAACTGAGGTCAATATTCTGCCATCAGATATCTTGTAGAGGATGGTTCGTTATTTTGTGATACTTCTGATGCCATCCCACGTGTAACAGGCATCTCAAAGGTGAAGAGCTAGTAGGACTAAGCATGGAAGACTTGGTTAAACTCAAAACCTTCTTTCAAGGTCTTTCAATTGTTGCATAGTGTTGACGTACTATGTTTTTTGGATTTCAAGGTGACAAATTCATGAAAGAAATTGGTATTCTCAAGAAAAAGGCTAGTGACAAATTACCCTTATCAGCTGTTTCTATTTGGTTATCTATCAATCATTTTCTGTTATTCTGTATTTCATCGCATAACAAAATGGGAAATCTTCAATTTGAGAATCTGGAGATAAAAAAGTGTTATTGGGCTTTCATAGTATTGAAGATCATTTGTAACCAACAATAATGCTGTAGGAGCAATTTACTTAAAGATTCCAATGGAATATCATTTGGTTGACTGCATTTAAATGTGTGTTCTTGGTTGCTAACTTATCTTCGCAAAATGAATTGCAGGAAGCATTATTCAAGGAAGAGAATGCGAAGTTGAGACAGAAAGTGCATGACGTGACAGTTTCCCTTTTCCTTTATTTCTTTGTTTCGCCCCTCTACATGAGCATGCTGCAATCTTTTGCCTTTCTGACTGCTAATTGCACGTAGCAGGCCCATCGGAAGACCAAACACCTCTGCTGGAACAAGGGCTTTCATCTAAGTCAGTCACCCGCTTAAGCGACCAAGCCGGAAGTTGTCCTCAGGACCTCAACAATTCGGACACATTTCTCCAGCCGGGGTATGTTTGTTTTAAGTCAAACATGGATCGGATAATTTGTTACAAGAATAAAACGAATTACATATGTGGAATATATCCAACATTTGGATCTTATATCTGGACAACATGCTGCATATCAGTTGAATGTGTTTGGTTTTGTACAATAGATGGCTAGTATTTAAGCAAGAAGAACAAAATGAAACTAAAGTAAGATTTCATTTTCAGAATGCATGATTCAAGGCCATGTGATCGTCTGGCAATGACTTGAAAAGAAAAGTGAACAGCTGGTAAGCTATCACAAGGCAGTCTTTAATGCTCTTGGATTGAAGTTTTTCTTTAGTAGCATGGCAACTGCTAGCTATGTAGAGAGATTAGAGTCAGACAAATTCGAATGCACAAATTATTGTATGTGGAAAAAAGGGGAGGTTTGGAGAATTGTTGTTGGTTGTGCGTTAATGATACGTTGTATGAATAGGTGTTTGCGGTTGCATAAAACAGAGCTAGCATGCATGTAAGTATCTTGGCAATCATTTTATAGAGAAACCTGTTTAACTTGGGGTTGAATTTTTGAAGCTTACCATGTCCCAACTGAATTGCAGGGAGGATGAGATTGCGGTTGCAGAAGATCGAACATATAATTTGAGCATAACTGGCTTTATGATACCCAGAAATTGTGGTTTATGTTGCATTATTTTTTAGTTTGTGCACAAGAGAATCTTTCAAGTTTGTACTTGTTAGGGATTTGCTATGCTAGTACTTGTTACTGACTTTTAGTTCAACAAATTATATTTGAGCATTGACTTTTGCTTTTAGATTACTATATGTATTCTGTTCTTTGGGATAATTTTACAAGTCCTTTGGGTTTCTGATTGACGGAATGTATAGCAGGGAGCACTACCTGTAGGTTGCTTCTATATCAAAAAAAAAAAAAAAAAGGAAAGAAAAAAAAAACTCCTGGCAGTTAGAAGTGTCAACTATAGGTGTCAAACAAATTCATTTAATTAAATTTACCCATACCCGCCCATGAATAGATGGATATGGGTATCTTAAGTTTTTGCATATGGGTATAAATGAGTTACCCATTTATTAAATGGATATTATTGGATAACCCATCAAACCCAATTAATTCATTTAAAATTATCTTCCTCCAAATCTCATCTCTTCCCCCGCCCATTTTCTTTTTCAGATTTTTCATTTTGTTATGATGTTAACATCATCATCATCATCATATTTATGATGATGATGATGATGATGATTATTATTATTATTATTATTATTTGTTAGTTTTATCTTATCATTTTAATTTATCTTAGTTTGTTAATTTGCTCATTTTCACTATTACCAATTTATGACAAGTTTTAGACTCCTTTCCTACCTTTTCAAAATGAAATTTTAAATTTACACACAAAAAAATGTTAGAAGTTCAAAATTTTTGGATTAAATTTTATGTTAACTTTTATAGTACCTAGTTCAAATTTTTGTATTTTTATTGTTCAATTATTAAATAGTATGTAATTTTACAACATAGAGTATAGATGGGAAAAAAATTAGTAATTAGGCTTGTTAAGCATTATAAGTAAATATTTAAAACTAATAATGGGTGCAAATAGTGGTATAAATTGATAATTTAGTTTGCAAAAATGAATTTAAATGAGTTTACGAAAAGTTAAAATAAATGGGTTATAAATGGATAATTAGGTTACTCAATTCATTTTTTGACTTACCCATTTATACCCATTTAATTAAATGAATATAAATAGGTTGACTCACTTATATCCATTACCCATGTTACCCAACTCAAACCCGCCCAAGTCACCCATTTTGACACCTCTAGTGTCAGCATAGCCCAGTTAAAAAAACTCCTACTTGCTCTTGACTATAGCTATCCTGACACTTTCGATTATTAAGAAAAGGAATTTTTGTTGGCAGATGAGATGTTATAACAGCATTAGTCTTCCTATAGTCACGGTGATCAGACTATATGCACACTAGCTAGAAACGTGGAATATGTGAAAATATGGAATTGCCATTTATTCCCCTTATGGCTTCGCATTTGGCCACATAATCCCCTATTAATTTTATGTAAAGTGATTAGAGACTTGTTGTGCTTAAATATTAACTAATGCTTGGAGATACTTTTTTTTACGGGGTCAATTTTTCCACTTTACATGATGCTACAAAAGAGTTAAATGGATATTGTTGAATACAGTGTAGAACTAAAAACTTTTAGTTTAGGGGAGGCCAAAAATCCAACATATAGTAATAACACATATTATAGCATATAAAGCATGGTAAATTTAAAATGAAAATTAAGGATTTCAATAATAAAAGACAAAGTATAAACCAAACTACAAAATTTGGATTCCCTACCATTCTATTTCCTATCAATGCGAGAAATAACTATCTAGTAAACTAATAGATCAATAATTCATATTACTGGCTTTGTTTATTTTTTTCATATATTAATAGAAGCAACAATCATTACGTAGTTCTAAAACAACAAACTCAAAATAAAAATAACTATTTCAAAATCAATAATACAATTTAAAATATAATACAAGAAAGTTTGAAGGAAATAAAAATAAAAACTTGCCTTGCAAAACTGGAGTTTGGGAACAGTTGATACTTGAAGCATAATAATGGAGCTTAGAAAGAGTCGATCCTTGAGAAGCTAGATAAAAAGATGTGACTTTGTATTTTTTAACTAATCCTCGTACATTCTTAATTCAAGTGAATTCTGTTACCTTTTATTTCCTTTATTTACTTTTATGTAGCGTTTTTTCAGTTGTTATTTTTTCGTTGTAAGCTGTGGATGAATTGAGCATTTAACAAATAGTTTGAACTCAACACATTAAAAGCTCGATTTGAGGGTGGATTTTTGTCAAGTTCGAGTTCGAGTTCAAACAATATAATAAGAGGAGGAAATAATATAATATCGAGTCTGTAACATAACTTGATCTCAAATTTAGAGCTCATATAGGATTCGAGTTCGAATTTGAATTTATTTAATATTTTGAATCGAGCCCAATAGATCAAAAGTTCGATTCGATTCATTTATAAGCCCATTTGTACTAATGCTACACTAATACGAGAAGGAAATAAGAGTTTGTTTGGTATAAGAGTCTTATAAAAAGAGTAATTAAGGGGGACAAGAAATAGATAAATGTATGAAGAGTAATTAAGAGGAACTAGAAATAGATATGCATGTTGGGAGAGGGGGGAGGGGGAGGAGATTAATCTATCTTAGATAAAATGTCTTAGTCCCTTTAGGACTATTCTGAAAGTTTTGGGGGTTGTGGGGGGAGCGAAGGGGCTGCTCCTCCCCAGCCCCCCCGTTCCATCCTTGGTTGAATAATAAGTGATTTGTGAGGTATTAACAACATACCCATGCAATTGGTGTACTTAAACAAAAATATAGATTATCAAAATTGTTGAGGTACATCAATTTGATTTTGACTATTACTTATTGTGAGTTTTCGTTAGTTGTCTTAAATTGCGTTGAAGACAAATTTTGTTTTAATCGAAATATTAGGTGGACTAAATATTGGGGACCAAAACTGTACTTTTGTTGCACATTAAACTTTTGATTTTGGTGGGATAATTGATTGAGTTAATTCTCCTTTAGCATTTCTGGTTCAAAATAGTTGTTGTCTTTCTCCTTGGCATTTTCTATATAAACGGTGATTTGAAATGGAGCTTGTTACGTGAACATTTGCCCCTTGGCATCTTTCAATGGAAGTACTCATTCATAGGTGAGTCTGAAAGGAAATGCGCATGCTAAACGTACAAATATTGAGATCAAGCTTTCAAGGAAACTTTCACGTTAACCTATGAAATTAAAATTGAGAGCAGGTGCAAGGTCTGTTTCAATCAGAATAATTGCTTGACAATAGTCTGATTACAGTAATAAAAAATTTGTTAGGTTGCAAACTGATAATATACTATATAACAAGGATTCAATATTGACATATTGTCATTGTTGTAAGGCCACTTTTCTTCTTGGTCTGCATAACTTTTGGAAATAATCTACGAATTCTGCTTCAGGCCGGCTGCTGCTGCACTTGCCTCAATGATCTTGTCTCCATAATTTTTTTTAAAAATAATCTACAATTCTGTTTCGGACAATTTGCTGCTGCTGCTGCACTTGCGAAGATGTCAGAGTCATTAGTTGGCCCGCAAATATAGATGTCACCTAATCATGATGTTAACCAGCTACGTGCGCACATCAGGAGTACTACCACTATATATACCAAAAATCTTGCGAACTAGATAACTCCTTTTTTTATTTTTTATTTTTTATAAACGATATAATCTCATACAATGAAATATGCCCTAATGTGGCCGACAATATTTTACTTATCACAGATACAATAAATCCGAAAAATTACTACATCTAATAGATCTAGAAAATTACAAAAATTACATTATAAAACTCAATAAATTTGGAATTTAGACAAATCACGAACAACCCAATGAATATCTATGCATGCCAATGCTATCTAATCCACTATTCAACTTGTTTAAACTCAAATTCGATGTTGAGATCTAATGAAATAACCTAAAAAATTCCAATGATCTAGAAAAATTGACCCCTGAGGTTGATGAAATATATGAAAATGTACATGGTAAAGCGTCAATAAATAGATTAACTTGAAATGTTCATTAATTAAATATTCATTAGGGATTAGTGCCACCTAATTTTTTTCATATATATGTCCAAAAATCCAAAAAGATTCACCAGATAGCACTCGTCAATGTGTCAAGAATTGGACCAAAAAGAAATACAAGTTTTTATGTAAAATACCAGTATAACCCTAGTTTCCCTCAATAAGAAAAATAGTTCAGTTATAAAGGGGTTTCAGGGTAGGTTTGTACAGGAGATATAACCAAGGGCGTTTGCTTATAATTAACCAAGAATATTGTGTTACATAAGCTGCGGAACGGTAAGGTTTTGTACATAGTCATACCATAAACCAGAAATATTGTTCTGCAATTGTTCCAAAATTTACACAATTTCAGTGTTCATTTGACATGAACTTTAACAAAATGACAAAAATTGGAAAAAATTGAAAATTTTGGCCATAGGTTACTGAGCTAATTTCTCCTCAAGTTGAACTTGAATCTCAAAGTTCTTTCTATGCAAACTGATTTTAAAAAGCTTGAAAATGCTAAGCATGTCATCTCATCAGCCTGGACAACTCAACTAAGATTTTGAATAGATTTAGTAACCAATGGAGCAATTTACCCTAGTTTTAGGTATCAACTTCA